TGAAGTGTATGGGGGGAGGGAGGGACTCAGAGTCTGGCCGTTTGGACCGAGCAGTGAGGCAACCCCACCAGCAGGAGGGGCTGTGGCTCAAGGCCCTGGTGTATTTTGGCCTAGGTCCGTCTCTCAAGCCGTGCTGCTATGTACGTTAGCCCACGGGCAGGTGTGTGGTGCAAGTTCCCCATCTGTGCCCGATCTACAGAGGATTTGCGTCTGTTACAGCCCCAGTGGTAGCAGCTCCTGCTTTTTAGCTCTGGAGGTCCCGGGTTCAATCCCCAGTGTCACCCAAGATCAGAGCAGGGGCCTAAGCAGACTACACAATTGCTTAAGGCCCCAAGAAGATCAAGGGGGCCCCCTATTAATTATTAGTCTGTGCTGGGGGCGGGGGGGGATATTCCTGTTTAGGGCTCTAATGGGCTAGCAACAGCACGGGCCAAGATGGTACCCGTGACAGACCGTGGGAGTGGGGAGGTCACACATGGGGTAAGACGCTCTATGACGGTTCTTCCAGACAAGCCAGCTCCTTCCACACAGAGGGGTGGAAATCACCAAACCTTCCTCCCCAGCATGTCCAGGGCTATGAAACCCCCCTCCCCCATCAGCCAGCCCATTAAAGGCTGCTTTCCCCACCGCTGTGATTCCTTATCACGCCTGCCCCAGTCCCTGTCCCCCAGGGAGGGAGCAGGTGGCTGAGAGATACTGTGACATCCCCCTCTACCCTCCGGGTCTCTACATCCCAAGATCCAGGGGGTGGGAGTTGGGGGGGAAAAACAGGTGGGTTCTTCACAAGCCTGGTATCTGCCTCCCACAGGCAGTGACCTCTGCCATCTCCCCTCCCCCTGCTTGATCGGCCAGCTAATTACATTGCACTCTCATCTATTTCCCCTCATCATCCTGACAGCTCCAGCCTAGGTCCCTGCCTCCCATATCGCTCCCTCTCCTACTGGGGGTCTGGCTCCCTGCCTCCCTTCCCAGTCCCCTCTCCAAACCCTCCTGCTCAGCCCAGGGACCCTTCTCTCTCATATGACCCAAGTCCTTCCCCGTTTGTCCCCACCGAGGTCAGGATTCACCATGAAACGTCACAATCCCACCACAGGCACCAGCCCCGTGGGACAGAACAAACCCCCCAGAGATGGCCCTCAGAGCTAGCTGCATCAGAAGCATTGCACGCCCCAGGGAAGATTGATTGGCCTCTTTCTAGGGGGAATCCTGCTGTCCGGGGAGCTCCAGCCTGGGCTGTGTCCTGAGCAGGGGACCCAGGGAGGTGTGGATACCGCGGCTCAGGAACAGATCAGAGGAGCTGGGGAGAGCTCTGGGGACCTTGTTAGCTCCTGAGGAGGGCCTGGGGTTCCACTAGGATCAGACCCTAAAGGGGATGTGGGGAAGCCTGTGGGGACCCCTGCTGTGACCTAAGAGGAAAGACAAGGGGCCCTGCTGGCTCTGGACCACAGGGGGTGGGGGAAACCACGGAGGTGGGATGTTGGTTCTTATGGATATTAGGAGAGGGCACAAGTTCTGTGGGGTCCAAAGGGGCTCAGAGCCAGGTCCCAGGGGCAGGAGTTGCCACTTGATCCCATGGGGGGGCGGGGAGGTATATGGGTCCTGCAGGATCCAATGGGGCTCAGAGCTGGATCATTGAGTCAGGGTACACACTGGATCCCAGGGGGAGCACATGGGTCCAGTGGGGCTCAGAGCCAGGTACTGGGGCAGGGGTCCCCACTGGATCGCATCGGGGGTGTTGCACGGGTCCTATGGGGCTCAGAACTGGGTCACTGGGACAGGGGTCCCCACTGGGGGTGGGGGGCTCACGGGTCCAATGGGGCTCAGACCTAGGTGATTGGGACCGGGGCCGCACAGGTCTTATGGGGCTCAGAGCCGGGTCACTAGGGCTGGGGTCCCCGCTGGATCCCCGGGGGGTGGGGCGGAGGGCGCACGGCTCCTGCGGGGTCCGACAGGGCTCGGCGGGCCGGGGGAAGCCCAGGGGTCTCAGCGGCGTTGCCGGGGTGTCCATAGGGCGCCGAGCGAGGGACGCGCCCCGAGCCCCCGCACTCACCTCTCGCCGTCTCCAGGGCCAGCAGCGCGGCCAGCAGGACAAGGCAGCCGCGGCCGGAGGCCAGGGGGGCAGCGAGGCGCGGGGGGGCCCATCCCTGCCCGGCCCGGGGCCATGGGGCTGGCGCGGGGCTCAGATCTCCCCGCCCGCGCCCTGCGCCCGCAGCATGCCCCGGCCCCCGAGCGCCGCGCCCGCTCTGCCCGTGCGCCCCTGCCGCGCCTCCGTCTGCAGCCGGCAGCTCGGGGCTGCAGCTCCCAGACAATAGAGGGATGGGGAGGGAGGGAGCACATGGGCTGCTCGCCTGCCCCCACGGCCGGGTCCTAAACCCCTCTGCTTCCCAGCCAGCATCCTAGCGCTGCTCCGGTACAGCGCCTAGCACAGAAGGGAGCCTGGGAAAGCGGGTAAGGTAATGCGAATCCCAGAGTACCAGCAACACACGGTGCCTAGGATGGAGCCAGAGGCAGGAAGGAAGGAGCCAAAGAGGGAGAGAAAGAGGCAGAGAAGGAAAGAACAAGACAGGGACAATAGAGCAGGACTGAGGGTGAGGGAGAGAGCGAGGGAGTGAGATAATGACAGAAAATGAACAAGAAAAGGTGTGAGCAAGGGGATGAGTGAGAAGCTATGGAAGGAGGAAGAGGGGCAAAAGGAGCCAAGGATGGACAGAGCGAGGCAGTGAGGGGGGAAAGGGACAGGGCGTGTGAGCTGGAGGCAGGATTGGTGCTTCCCTGTGCATGGGACGGGAGATTGGAAGCTGGTTGGGGCAGGGGCTGGCTCCTACCCTGTGCGTACAAAGCCTGCCACCATGGCTCCTGGAACACCGATTGTGGCTCAGGCTCCAGTATCATACAGGCTATAACAGGGACGGGACAAAACAAGGGAGCAACAGGAGAGAAAGCGAAAAGGAGAGAGAACGTGAGCAGGAGGGCAAAACAGGCAGAAGGAGAAAAAGCAAAAGAGAGCAAGAGGCAGCAAGGAAGAGTGGTAGGAGACAGAGCGAGGGAAGGTGAAAGGTGGACAGACAGATGGCCAGCGAACCACAGGGACAGACAGGTAGACAGTGAGAGATCCACAGGAAGGGACAGACAGGCAGACAGCAAGAGAGCAGCAGGGACAGATTGGAAATCCAGCCTTGCATCTGCCTGCCTATTAGGCACAGTAGGCATGTGCCTAGGGGCACCAGCGTTCTAGGGGTGCCTTATCTCTCTAAAACTGTGTGCAACACGAAAATCAGCTGGGGACAGGGGGCGCTGAAGATGTAAATCCGGCCCTGGGCAGACAGCGAGAGAGCCACAGGGACAGACAGAGGTGGGGACAGCTCAGCCCACAGATCAGCCCCCTGGTGACTGGTGCTTTGTACATAACCAGACAGCTGGGACAGAGCAAGTGGATTCTTGAGCACGTCATAAGCCTGTTGCCCTGAGGCTCCCCCAGCCCAGCTGCACCAGGGCCTGTGTCGCAGCCTGCCAGAGCCCCTGGGCACCCGAGGAGTGCTGGGAGCCACGGAGAGCTCCCGCCCAGACTTGCTCTTGCTCCGACATGCCTCCCCTCACTGAGAGGAGCCAGCCAGCAGCAGGGAGCCACAGCTGGTCGGCTCTGCCCTCAGACTCTGGGAGAGCCTGGGCTGCCATGGACCCTACTTCACCCGCACCCTGCCAGGGCAGAAATAAACCTGCTCAGGCCCTGAAGGGTTAAACAGGCCAGAAAGCAACAGCTTGGAGCCTTCAGCCTGTATCATATAACAGCTGGATGATCATGGGGGAGACCCAGACAGGGGCATGGGGAGGAATTGGGAGCTTCAGATACAGGGATAGAGGGGATAAGCAAACAAGGGACATGGGAGAGAGGTGGGATGAGGGCAATACTGAGCCCACACAGAGCTGCTTTGAGATCAGAAGCAGCCTAGCCAGACGCAGCCACCGGGACCCCACCCCTTTCTGCTCTGTGGCTGTACAGTGCCTAGCGTAATGGGGCCCTGGGCCACGAGTGGGGCTGCAAGAGTCCAAGAGTTTAAGGCCACAAAGGTCCATCAGGTCAGCTAGCCTGACCTCCTGCACACCACAGGCCACCAACACCACCCACTAAACCCAACCACCAACCACCTGGCCAGTGTGTGCCAGAGGCAGAGACCAGGAGAGAGCGAGGTGCGCCAATGCCCGAGACCCCTGGAGCAGCAGGGAATTGATTAAGAGGTACTGATCAGCCTGCAGGGGCGAGGGGATGGGGCCCCACCCAGCCGCTGGGTTGTCCCAGTGCTCCATTCGCATCCAAAGAAAGGGAGAGCTCTGGGGCTCCGGCCCCTTCTCGCTCCCTCCCTGCTGGATGGTATCCCCACTCCCCCCTGGCATGTCCTAAACTCCCAGCCCTGGAGGACCCCACAGGGCAACTGGCCCTTCTACTGAGCGGGGTGAGGGATGGCAGCACAATTCCTCTCCCCTGTCTCGCTACACACTCCTGTTCATCCCTGGGGTTTCTGGGGGCTCCAGGTGGTGAGGGATGAGCACAGACAGCTTTGTGGATGTTAATCCTCCCCCCCCCCCGCACCCCAAGACACCAGGGCTTGTTGCCTAAGACCCCAGACTGTAATATAAGCTGGGAATCCCTATCCTGACAGCTGGGCACAGAGAGGAGAGCCAAGGGCTTAGCCAGGGTGTTGGCAAAGACTCCCTCCCCCAAGGCTCGCAGCAGCTGTCCTCGCCTAGCAGCACCTCCTGCACCATCCATCCCCCAGCAGCCAGGGCACCTATTTCCCCCAGCACTCCTGCCCCACTCCCTGCTGGCAGAGGCTGGGAGCAGAGTAGCACATTGTTCACCCCACAGCCAGCACTCCTGTGCTCTAGTCCTCCAGCTGGGAAAGACTGAGACTGGGAGGCGGGGGCTCTGTCATTCCCTGCAGCGCCACCTGCTGGGAGTGGCAGAAGAAAGAAACCCAAACTTGCCCATGGGCTGGACAGAGTGTGGTTAAATAGATTTTATTTGGAACCTGGTAACAAAATGGCCTGTTCGTTTAAAATAGACAGAACTTTCAAAACATAGATTGGCAACCTCCTGCCGACAACATATGCCCAGTCCAAGCCCGGCCCCACTGGCCTCCTCTCCAGCCCCTAGCTGGCGAGGCGGGGGAGAGAACAGCTGAGCTTGTCGTGGTCACGAGAGGACGGGGCTGTGAATCCCCACACTCAGAGATGCTTGCCCTAGCTCTCATGGAGCTAGCACAGTAAAAACAGCAGCGTAACTGGGTAGCATGAGCTGCAGAGAGTGGTGGAAGGCGATAGCTGTACCGAGTCTGCACCCACAGGGTTCAGGAGGGTTTGTACTTGGCCAGGCTGTCTACACTACTGTTTTCAGCACGCTAGCGGAGTGAGAGCTAGTGCAAGTATCTGCGCGAACTGGGACTCACACCCCTTGCTCCAAGTGTTGACGTTCCCTAGGGGCACGTAGGAGGAGGAATAGGAGTTGCTACGTATCCCTCCTTTCTGATCAATCATGGCCCGCTCTGCCACAATCCCGGGGCAGATTAACACAAAGGCCACCTGCCATGCTTGAGGTGGCACCAAGAGACAACTCCCACCCTAGCTGTGACAAACGGAGGAGGAATTTCCCTGTGCCCGCTCCCATGTGCTGTGTGTCTTTGGCTTGGATGGTGTTGGGGGGTTCTTAAAAAAGACCTGTAAACATCTTCCCACATACACATATCCCAGTTTCCCCTCCCACCTCCCAACAAACACCATCCACTCTTAGCATAAGAAGGCACCATTGGCTTGGATGAAGGCACTTGGGGAAACCCTTCCCCTGTACACACCCTCCCTGATCAGAGATCCCCCGGGGGTACACTGCCCCCTCCTGAAATGGGATACAATGCCCCTGCCCCCAGTTTATCTATCCAGCATCTGATTTCTAGAGGCACTGAGCAACCCACAACTCCAGCTGAAGTCAATGGGAGCGGCAAGAGCTCAGCACCTCTGTGCATCAAGCCCTTAGGACCCGGCCTTCTTAGCGAGACTGGTCCAGGGCTAGGTGAGGGATGGGCGAAGGATGGGGTGATGGTGGGGAAAGGATCAGGCAGAGGTAGAGGGTGGAGGGAAAGGCCAGGAGCCCCGGTGGCAGCTGTAGGGCAGCATGGGAAGGGGACAAGAGGGAGACAGCAGGAAAATAACAAGGGGTGGAATTCAGCATCTTAGCACCCGAGACCAAACCCCAACTTGGTCCCAGACTTCACCAACATCAAAGCACCCCTTTTAAGCCCTAGCATGATGAGCCCCATGGCAGCAAATCTATGGGAGATGGCAAGGGTGGGGGCAGGCAGCTGAGGGAGCACCTCCCATCCTTCGCCCATGAGACCAGGGCAGGCTGGGGAAAATCACACCATCTCCCACGGGTTCATTCCTCCACTCAAGAGAGCTCCCTTTGGGCTTCACTTGTCCCTGGGGTGGGTGTGGGGACAGCCTGCAAGTGCCCTGGGGAATGGGAGTGGGGCCTGCGAGTAGCATGTCAGTTTGTACAATGGGGAGGGGCCTGAGGAGGACCATGGGGCACGTGGGGCCTGTGAGTGTGCAGAGGGGAGGGGCCTGAGAAGAGCCATGGGGTGGGTGGGGCCTGTGAGTGTGCACAGAGGAGAGGGGCTGTGAGTACCCGAGGGTGGAGAGGCCTCCATGAGCACGTGCAGAGGGCCAGGATAGCAGTGAATTGTGGTGTGAGAGTCCGTAGTGTGCTGGGAGGGGCCACCTCCCGCTCCTCACTCATCCTGCTCCAGGTGCCTGGGAGATACCCGCCTCTGCCGGCGCCGCAGCTCCTCCACCTGCCACTCCAGGTTGCGCACCTTGGCCTCCAGTTGGCTCCCGGAGTGGCACGCCCCGCTCAGCCTCCCCAGCAGGGCATACAGGGTGAGCAGGCACAGCAGCAGCAAGGCCTGCACCGAGGGGTTGGGCACTGCCAAGATGATCAGCAGGAAGCAGCCCAGGAAGAACGCCACCTTCAGCCCCCACATGACGTGTCCCAGGATGGACAGCAACAGGCCCAGCAGCTGCGAGAGCAGCCAATAGCCCACCACAGCGGCCAGGCCCCACAGCAGCAGGGTCTGTACCTGGGCAGGGCCCAGCTTAAGGGGCTGCACCACGTGATCTCCTGGAAAGGGAAGGAGGAAGAAAGTGGTTAGACACATGTGAGACGTGATGCTGTGCTGACCCCCTGTGGGACTGGGGTAACCCCATGTGCAGGCAGGAGGATCCCCACTCTAGTGGGGCTGGGACAGGCTGCTCCTGGAGAGAAGGGCAGGATGGGGAAAGAGGTGATGGTTGCAGGCGTAACCCCTCCTGTCCTGGAAGGAGAAACCATGTTGTCTCCTTATCTCCCCACACAGGCTCGGGCATCCTGGGGTGAGGTACTAGGGGCTGCATGTGTGAAGTAACCCCCCTGCACTGGAATCCCCTTGAAAGACACAAACCTTCACCACCAGACTGGGAGGCCCCTCTTTCCTGGGGGGAAGGACCATTTTTAACCCATCAAGTGCTGGAAGGGAAGAAGCACCCTGCAGTGATACAGGCACTGAGTGTAGGTTGGAACACACCCCTCTTTGCTGTGGAGGGTGGGACTGGGTCCGGGTCCCTCATGCTCCAGTTAGAAACAGTGATGAAACAGATCCTCCCTGCCAGGTAGGTGAATGAGAAACACCCGCTCTCCTCCACCGCATGCAGGATGGCTCAGAAAGGCAGGGTCAAACAGGGGATCAAACACTGAACCGGGACTCAGGAGAACTGGGTTTTATTCCCAGCTCTGTCACTGGCCTGCTGGGTAACCTTGGCCATCTTCCTCACACTCTTTGTGCCTCAGTTTCCCCTCCCACCCTTTGTCTATTTGGTCTGTTTAGACTGTAAACTCTTTGGGGCAGGGGCTCTCTCTCACTGCGTGTCTGTGCAGCATTTGGCACAATGGGACCCTGATCTCAGCTGGGGCAGGGCCTGTCTCTCCCTGTGGGTCTGGGCAGCGCCTGGCAGAACGGGGCCCTGACCTCAGCTGGGGCAGGGCCTGTCTCTCCCTGTGGGTCTGGGCAGCGCCTGGCAGAACGGGGCCCTGATCTCAGCTGGGGCAGGGCCTGTCTCTCCCTGTGGGTCTGGGCAGCGCCTGGCACAATGAGGACCTGATCTCAGCTGGGGTCTCTAGGTGACACTGGTAAATAACAAACAACTTACCATTCACTCCGAATGCGCTTAGGATCTGCCCTGCGATTCCGGACAGGGTGATCAGACCTGCCGAGATGCCAGAGGACACAATCCAGAACACGGCAGAGACGTTCTGCAGGGAAGAGAGAGTGAGAGCACTTTTCTCAGTTGGCTTAGAGATACCCGAGAGAGTGAGAGGAGACAGGACCAGGGAGGAAAATAAGGGGAGAGTGGGGGAGCACCCCACTCCTTCATGTCTGCTAAAGGCACTGGATCAGAGCCTCCTCCCTGACTTGGGCCAAGCTCCAATTCGCTGGCCGGGCAGGTGAATTCACATGGGAATCCCAACAGGAGCTGGTGCCTGGCTGGGTGAGTACAGCCTTCCCTGCCAGTAAGGGGAGCAGCACCTGGTGTGGGAGATTTGTCCAAGCTGCCTCCTACAGGAAGCCCTGTGCCCCTGCTGCGCCGCCCTCTGCTCCAGGATGAAAGGAAGACCTTGCCAGGGCTAGCAGAAAAACTCCAGCAGGTCCCTCTCCCCAGCTGCAAAGGAAGGAGGGATGGCTGGGCTGTGGTTAAAGTGCTGGCTTAGGACTCATTCTTGGCTCCACCACAGACCCCCCTGTGTGACCTGCAAGTCACTGCATCTCCGCAGAGCTCTGCTGCCAAGCTGTAAGAGGGGGAGAACAAAGGCTATTCCTCCACCCTGGCTTGGGCCTGTCTGGAGACATGGCTGCCTTTCAGATCTACCACTCCCTTGCCTTCAAGATCATAGAAACGTAGGGCTGGAAGGGACCTGCGGAATTCCCTTGGCTCAGGGAGAGTCTCTGGAGAGCCTAAAGCGAGCTCTAACTACACTGGGAGCTGTTGGTGGACAGTGCTACGGTCTTCCTTGGGGAAGGGGTGGCATGGCCTGAGTGCCATTGTGCTCTGGCTATTTCTGACTGCGAGGGTAGCCTCTTGGGGCCTTGGGCAGCCCTGAAGCTGTTCTAATTTTACCAGCAGCTGAGACAGCCTCATCATAGGAAAACCACAAGGGTGGTGTGGAGTCCATTTTCCCACCACCCCTTAGGCCTGGTGCCAAGCTCAGCTTGGCTGCAATCAGGGTGGACTGATTTAAATCAAGGCGATTTACATCAGTGATTTAAATCACCAAGTGGACAGCCTCAATTTTAAATCGATTTTAATTAATGGTTCCATTTGTATTTCAGTTATTTTCTAAAGAAAAGTGTTCTCATTGGTTGATCTAATCTTAGAACATGCTAATTTACAACTAAATAGAGCCTTGACACTAGATTTGGTACATCTTTTTGCTCCCTAATGATAAGACACATGGTAGTGGCTCCTAGAGTCAGAGGTCAGATCCTAACGCCCATCTTGACTAGATCAGTCTCTTGCATTCAGTAGCCCAGCCCCCGTGTCCTCCCTTATTACAGGACATGACCTGTTGTGCCATATGTAGAAAGCATGACCTCAAAAGTGAGATGTTTTACCCCTTATTCTTTATCTAGTAAAGCAGCCTTTAGCTCATAGTTTTTGATAGGGGCTCAGGGATTTGGCTTATTGATTTTTTATTTAAATGTTCTAAGATATTACAATAAATGTAGGTAGGCCTGAACATATTTTGATTAAATTCAGGATTTCATTTTAAACAGGTTTATTTTTTAAAAGAAACTGATTTAAATAATTTTTAAAAAAATCCAATTTAAAAACCAAACAAAAATACCCACAAATTTGTATCCATCCTGGCTGCAATCCAGCCCAGAACAAACAGACTCCACTCAGCTCCTGCATCCAAGAGAACGCATACAACAAGAGACACAAGTATTTAGGGAATGTATCCCAAACCCTCAGACCCTCAGCTAATCAGGTGCCAACGCTGCTATTTTCAAAGCTGACTGGCTGGTTCCCCCAGTGACAGAAAGACAGCCAGTTTCCCCAACACACAAGTCAGCCTGGGTGCTGGAATCTCACTCACTTAATAAGCCTTCATGCTCTGAAGTGCTGCTGAACCAGCCAGCTGGCTCCACCACCCCAGATGAAAAAAAACAGAGGCTCCTTCTCTCTAACACACTTTTACAGCCCTCTTTACCGTAGTATCTGAGCACCTCACAATGTATTTATCCTCACAGCACAGACAGGGAAGGGCTGTTGTCCCCCTTTTACAGCTGGGGAGCTGAGACACAGAGAGGCTAACGGACTTGACCAGGAAAGCTGGGGCGGAGGAGGAAATTCAATCCAGGTCCCCCAGTCTCAGGCTAGTGCCCTAACCACGGGACCATCCTTCTGCTCTTACCATTTCTGTGCACTTAACGATCCTTAATAAACCAAGGCCTAACACCCCCTACGTTGGGAGGCAACTGTCACTTGACAGATCAGGTAAGAGGTTGCAGGGGGTTGCCACCAGAAGAGCTCGGAATAGAACCTATGTCTGTAATGACAGTCCCAAGACTTCGGCACACCCTGCCTTCTGTCAGAGCAGATGGCTGAGTTGATCGAAACTTCCCTGGTCTGAAATCCCTGGGGAGACATACCAAGCTTCTGGAAATGGGTAAGCTGGGATTGGCCAATAGAGGCTGCACTGGAAATGTATTGTACCAGACTTCCTAGCGTATCGCAACGTGCTTCAGGTGGCACATGACCAGGATTTATCACTGAATTTGGTTCACTGGTTGGATCATTAGCTTCCCCAGCCTGGGCTGGGTACTGACAGGGGAGTGTGACGTAAGTGCTGATCCATGCCCCCCTGTACCAGTTATTTTTATTATGTAGATAATAAAATAATACTACCACCACCTCGTTCTTATCTATCACTTGTCATCACTAGATCTCAAAATACGTTACAGTAGCTTTTGCTTCATTTTATAGATAGGGAAACAGAGGCATGGGGGACCCTTGCCCAAGGTCACCTTGCCCAGCTGGGAATGGAACCCTGATCTGCTGAGTCCCAGTGGCTGCTCAATCCACTAGAATATGCTGCCTCCCTCCATAGGTCTCTTCTGACAGCTCTGGCAATGCTTATAAAGTTATTTCAATAGAACTGACAGAGGAGGTGAACCTTGATCCTAGAGAGCATTCAAGCACACCGCACAAATACATGGAGCCCTCCACCCCTTTTCCTGATTCAGCTAGGATTCCTGCCTTACCTCTGTCACTAGCTGAAGTGTGTCCCGGCCAATCCACTCCTCCAGGGTCTCCCTCATGCCCTGAGCCAGCTGGGACAGGAAGTCAGCATGGACAGCCGCCTCTCTCCAGGCTTCCCCGCGATAGTGCTGAGTGCTGGCCACAGCTACATGAAGGAAAGCGACTGACATCAGGATAGCCACGACTGGTCGGAGCAGGGCTTGGCGGCAGCACCAGAACTTAGGATCCCACCCAGTCATCTCTCCGGCTCTCTTCTCAGTCCCAGGAATCTCTGCCGAGAGAAAGGAGAGAGATGGCTACAAGACACAGATCATAATGAGGTTATAGGATCCCTGTGATTCTGCTGGTCCCAGGCCAGCACCGCAATGTCAGGAATGCCGAGTAGGCGAATAACATCCCAGCAACCCCAGGGCAACTGCAATCTTTTCTTTTAGTTGAGAATCAGCCACTTACCAGTCCTCGCTTATAGGCTTTGTGACCTCTCCCCAGCCCCCCACTCACTCCCCTGTGAGCTGCATAGCCCCATGGAAAAGGAAAATGAAGGGGTGACTCATGTCTCAGCCTGTGAGCTGTGATTATGCAGACTGACAGGGCACCAAGCCAGTCAGAGGGCGTAATTTGACACCCAAGTCCCACCCTCTGGACCCCAAGCATTCACAGCATGTGGTGGGAATGAGGTCAAAGGTCAAGCCTGCACCCATCTTAGACAGTGATCGCATCACAGCCCCTGCTGAGCAAGTTCACAGTAGCTCAGTACTTGGATGGGAGAGATTGAAAGGACAGCTGGGTGCTGCAGGCTGTCTGACTCGAAAGGAGGCTCTCTCTCTGCATTGGGGCCAGCAATGACTCAGCAGCCAGAGGTGCCATCTTTGGGAAGAATCATCTAAGCCAGATCGAGGACCACTCCTGACCCGATGCCCAGGCCCTACGTAGCAGCATGTTGCAAAGCCCCAGCATTGCACACAACAGGAGGGAAGCAGCGAGGGCAGCCCAGGCACTGCTGGCTGGAGGATGGACAGCCTGGCTCCAATTACTGCGTACAGGTGGCCTAAGCTCCCGTGTCATTGTGAGCCCCTCTCCTGTCCCCTATTAAGTCAGTTGCCAGCCCAGGACAGGTGCTGCGGCGCTGCCCCAGTGGTGGCTGCCTTCCAGGAGCCAGCAACGCACATGGGAAGCTGCAACACGGGGGCAAGTCGCCCAGCCCCAGCGGGAGCAACGAGCATCGGGGATGCTCCGGGTTTCGCACGTCACCGCCAGCTGCCAGGCCCGTGACCCCCAGAAACGCCCCAGGCCCAGCAACGCGTCTGGGGCGGGGCAGCCTGGGCCGGTCTGGCGCCTCGCAGGGAGTGACTGAGCAGGGGGCTGCCCGGCTGTTGGCAGAGCGCGGCTGGAACGCTGCTGCTGGGAGAGAAATTCAAATTCAGCACCAGGCCCGGGGCCGCTGGGAATTGTAGTCATGGGGGCGGGCCGGGTAGTGTCCGCCCAGTGCATTCTGGGAATTACAGTCTTCAGGAAGAGGTGCATGCCGGGAGCGGCCGTTCCAGCCAAGCAGTGCTCCCCCTCCCGAAACGCCCGAGCGGTAGCCGGAAGTTCCCGATCTATGCGGCGAGACGGCCCGGGGTATGCCGGGAAGAGTAAAGTTCCGTTTCCGGCGAGGGCGGGACTCCGGAGTCTCCCGCGCGCGCTGGGGCCCCGCGTGAGCGAGGGGACGCGGAACGGGACCGGCCTCGGTTGGGACACGGAGAGGGGACACCCTCCCCCGGAAGCAGAACCCGTGACCCGGAAGCAGAACCGGGACCCGTAGGGGAGACGTCGCCATGTCCCTCATATGCTCGAGTGAGTGACGGACTGGGAGCTTGCGGGGGGGCCCTTCCCGAGCCGGCCCCGTGGAGCTGACATCTCCCACCACGCGGGCCCTGGTGTCTCCCCAGCGCAAGGAGCCCAACGAGGAGACTCTAAAAACAGCCCCCCCCCCCAACGTGCCGCCCGCTCGGGGGGCCTCGAACCCGGCTCCTCTGCACGGCCAGTAACCCCGCCCCCTCCCCCCGCAGGGCCCCGAGTCTGCACCTGCATCCCTCCCTCTGCATGGCCGCTTCGCCCCAGCGCTCCCCCACCGGCGTCGTGTGGTTCCTGAGAAAGGAGCAGTGTCTGGGTTGGGAAGGCTCAAGGACAGACAAACAGATCCCCGGGCTGAGGTGTTAGGGCAAGGAAGTTTCGTAGCCAACACAGCGATGGGGCTGGCGTCACCCACCTTTGGCTGCCCAAGGGATCAGGTACCCATTTTGCAGCTGGGTGAATTGAAGGTGGCCTTCCAGAGTTAGATCCAGTGTGACTCCAACCCACAATCTTCAGGATTGTGGTGGAGCACCGTAACCCTTTGGCCACTGTGCCACTAAATAAATAAGGGTGGGGAGAATCAGTGGAGCTTAAATATCAGGAAAAACATTAGCATACTAGAAAAAGAATAGGGTAAACGTGGAGACAATGCTACCCATGTAGAGGCTGTAGGAAAGATTGATCTGTGTCTTGTTACCTTTGTCTTGGGGCTTCTCTGTCCTCTGGTAAGCATGGGGTACTGGTGGGGATTTAGGTTCTGTTTGTCCATTGTCACCCCTGCAATCTCTGTCTCTTTGCAGTCTCAAATGAGGTGCCAGAGCACCCCTGCGTGTCTCCGGTCTCAAACCACGTCTATGAGCGAAGACTGATTGAAAAGTACATCGCAGAGAATGGGACTGACCCAGTGAACAACCAGCCGCTGTCTGAAGAGCAACTGATCGACATCAAAGGTATCAAGCAGAGGGGAGCGGAGCTAGAGGTGTGACCTGGTGGATTCTCACCAGCTCCAGGGAGTTGGGCAGACCATCACTACTACCCTGATGGCCTGAGCTCCCACAGTTCACCAAGCAATTGCCTGGTGGGCCAGGTTGGTCTGACCATCACAGAAAGGGTTGGGGAAGGAAGGACACCAAGAGAATGTAGGAGCTTTTATAAAATGGGTGAATCAGTATTCATTTTATCGTCACCTACACCCAAAATTTTTAGGATTTCCCCATAGTCCTCTTCTCAGGCAAGTCCAAAGTTTCCTGGGGAGGCAGGCCCACTTTCACCAAACTCTGTACCTTTTTCCCAAGGAGTTTGGCTCTCCTCTGGCTCCTTTCTGGAGATGTTTTTTCTCTTGACATGCATTCAGTTTTTTTGAATGCTGCCTCTTCCTTCTCTCCCCTGTTGGAATGAGCTGGGTTTGGCTTGTATAGGCCCAGAGTCCTCCCACTCCCAACAGCCTCTGAGAGGACTGGTTAAATGGAGTCAGCTGCTTAGGGATTTCTATTACTCTCCCTCCCATTGACAGTTCACACTATCACAAGAGTTGCATCACTGGAGTTTGGGGGTCTCTGCTGTACGTGATACTGGCCACTATCCTAGGTAGGCTACTGAGCTAGCTGGGCCACTAGCCTGATCTGGTGCGGTAGTAGGTCAGACACCAACTTAGATGCTGTGACCCAGTATGGTGACTGCAGAGATACATTAACAGCCGCATTTTCTAATGAGATTCTTCCACCAGCAGGTGATGTAGACATATAGTAGAGGATGAAGTGAGGGTGCAAATGGATCTGGATAAAGGGGTGGATGAGCGGTTGTGTTTGAGGGTGGGCGTTGGGGATGGAGAAAAAGTAGAGATGCAGGAGATGGGGAAAGGGATTAATCCTTGCTGTTGAGGCTAACACACCCCTGTGTGTCTCATTCACAGTTGCCCACCCAATCCGGCCCAAGCCACCCTCGGCCACCAGCATCCCGGCCATTCTGAAAGCCCTTCAGGATGAGTGGGTAAGTGCTGTCATGGGGATAGTGTTGGGGGCCATTGAAGTGGGCAGATGATAGGAGGAGTGCTGGGGCAGCAGAAAGAACAGGATTCTGCTCCGTTTGGATGGGAGGACCCACCCGCTTTGCTTGCTGAGGTTGGGTGGAGCCATCCACTCTACTTACCCAGGTGGGCGGAGCTTGCTGAGCTGGGGGGGGGCAGAGCATTGAGCCCTGGCTGGCTCCCTCACATTGCGAGTCCTTCCATAGGACGCCGTCATGCTGCACAGCTTCACGCTCCGCCAGCAGCTGCAGACCACCCGCCAGGAGCTGTCGCACGCACTGTACCAGCATGATGCTGCCTGCCGCGTCATCGCCCGTCTCACCAAAGAGGTCACCGCTGCCAGAGAAGGTAAATCGGTGGGGGAAGGGGGTCTGACTGAGGGCAAGGCTGCAGCACCATGGGGAGAATCAGTCCAGGGAGGGATTCTGACTCTAATGCCCTAGGAGCAGGCAGGGGGAGGAGCTTGCGCCTCTGGAGCAGGCAGGGGTCAGTACTGATGGGAAAAGGTAGCTGTAACAGAACCTCTGTGGCACTCCTGTGAGCCTGCAGTTGGCTCCCATTTTAACCCATTGAGCCGCTGTTTGTGTCTCCGCAGCGTTGGCGACTCTGAAACCCCAGGCTGGCCTTATAGTCCCCCAGGCTGTGCCGTCTTCCCAGCCCAACATCACGGTGAGTCCCTCCTGCACAGCTCTCTCCTTGTGTCTCCTGACTGCTCTCTCTTCTCCTGCTGGACTCATGGGCCTCTTCTTTCCCCAATCCAGGGTGCTGGCGAGCCGATGGATCTGGGAGAGCTGGCAGGCATGACCCCCGAGATCATCCAGAAGGTAAAGAGTCATCCGTCCCAGATTCACCCTTTGCTCTGCTGCAGGAGCGACTTTCATTCCTGCTTCCCATGCAGTCGCTTCTTTTCCATCTCCCTGCCCCATCTATTGTGCCCTGGTTCCTGCATGATGCAGGCAGTCAGAGAGCTGCCCTCCTGTGCCAGCCTTCCGTCTGTTAGCGTCACAATTCCTGAGTTCACTCTTCTGTTTTCCAGCTTCAAGACAAAGCCACGGTGCTGACCACGGAGCGTAAGAAGGTGAGACCCTGCTCCCTGGATCCCCTTCCTTCCCTGCGGTGGGGGGCAGGATCTGGAGGGGTCTGAGTTGGGAGGGGGCTCTCCATTGGAGCGGGGGTAAAGAAGCAGGGAGGTGAGCTCAGCGGTTTTGGAGGTCTCTATTGAGGGAATCTGTCCTGTGAGGAGGAGGAGGATCTCTCTGTTCCCTGGGTGGGGTTGGCCGGGTGGGGGAAAGGCAGGGGGCTGGGTGCTCTCCCAGGAGCATGGTCATTTCTCTTTGGGTGCTCTTCCTTCTGCAGAGAGGCAAGACGGTTCCAGAGGAGCTGGTGAAGCCAGAGGAGCTCAGCAAGTATCGACAGGTGGCCTCACATGTGGTGAGTTCTCTGATGCAGACGGTCGAAAGTTAACTTTTGGGGTCTCAAACCTTGGTGAATGCAGCGAATGCCTTCCCCAGATGGCCCAGTCCCTTATGCAACTACAGAGGGCTGTGCTGCCTTTCAGAACCTGGGCACATTTTGTCCCCACCCTGCTGTGGCAGCAGGGGGCGCTGTGCTGCTAGGGGACAGTCGCTGCTTCTCCCTCTTGGTCCACTGAGGCTCTGGAGTCTCCTCTCAGCAGGTGGGCTGTTAGCCCTGGTGTATCTCTTGGCACCTGGACCCTGAGCTGTCTCCCGCTTGCTTCTCCCATCTGAGCTGAACAGGTGCTGGCTTGCAAGCACTGGGGAGGGAGGGAGGTGGGGGAATATAGCAGGGTGCGGAGCAGATCTGGGTGGGAACAAAGAGTCCCGGTTATGGAGTCTGTACCCAGAGCTCTTCGTTAGGATCCCTCCCTGCCTCGAGGGGCTCTTCCTGCTTGACAGTGGTTCTGTCTGACCCCCTTTTCTTTGTACAGGGCTTGCACAGCGCCAGCATCCCAGGGATCCTCGCTCTGGACCTCTGTCCTTCCGACACCAACAAGATCCTCACCGGTAAGACAGCCGCCTCGGTGCCAGCTTCTTCCACCGGGCTGGCAGGGATTGTGGCCTCTGGAACCCGCAGCTGATGTTTGCCAGAGGGCGGGGATATGGGTCAAAAGTCTCCCTGTTTCCTGGGCACACCCCTCTTCCGGCTGCGGGCTGGTGGGGATGAGGTAGAGGGCAGTAAGGACCTCTCTACACCCAGTTTCCAGGGATTGTGGGTCTCCTTTAGTTCCAGGGTGGTGGATGTTGAGGGGAGACGGGTCTGCACAGCTCTGGGCCCCACCCCTCTCTGTTTGTGTTCCAGGCGGGGCGGATAAAAATGTCATCGTCTTTGACAAGAGCTCGGAGCAGATCCTGGCGACTCTCAAAGGGCACGCCAAGAAGGTCACCAGTGTAGTGTTCCATCCGTCCCAGGTAAGGGCCAGGGCCAACTCCCCATCTCCTTTGGCCGTGCCATGCTGCGGGAGGGATTCTGGGGCCACCTTTTGGGGGTCTCCAGGCCCATATCGCAGTCTGGTCCCCTCCTACAATGTGCTTTGGTATTAACCTCTTCTCGCCCCTCCCAATGTTGGTGCTCTAATCCCTGTGCATGTTCTCTCCTCACACACCTAGGAGCTGGTGTTCTCTGCTTCTCCTGATGCCACTATCCGGATCTGGTCGGTCCCAAGCGCCACTTGCGTGCAGGTTGTCCGGGCCCATGAGAACGCCGTGACAGGGCTGAGTTTGCATGCCACCGGTGACTATCTCCTGAGCTCCTCTGATGACCAGGTGAGACTCAGGTCACCCCTGACCCCTCCTTCCCCCCCCCCCATGTTGTTGGAGCTCACCTCGATCAGCGAGCTGGTGTGGGCAGGAGGCAGTGGAGGGCTGGCGGCTGTGGGATGCACTCACTCCTTGTTCCTCTCTTTCAGTATTGGGCTTTCTCTGATATCCAGACGGGCCGGGTGCTCACCAAGGTCACAGATGAGACCTCTGGCTGCGGTAAGGGTTGGGTATCGGGGACCCCTGGCTCGCAGGGTCATTGTGCTCCATTTCATTTTAGCTGGATGATTTTTCTAGAGCGTAAGATGAGGAGCTTGTTAAGAACATCCGTTTCAGAAATAGAAATAGACCGTAGAACAGGGGTCTCAAACTCAAATGACCATGAGGGCCACATCACTGACACACACACCCCTCGCTGCTCCCGGCCGTGCCCCCACTCCACCCCTTCCATGAGGCCCCGCCCCTGCCCCGCCTCTTCCAACCCCTTCCCCGAAGGAAGCTCCGGGGTGGCAGCGGCACACACCGGGGCCAGGGCAGGCTGGCTGCCTGCCCTGGCCCCGCTCCGCGAAGCAGCTGGAACCATGTCCCTGCAGCCCCTGTGGGAGGGGGGACGCAGAGCTCTGCATGCTGCTTGCTGCTCCTCCAGGTACCTCCCCTGAAGCTCCCATTGGCCACGGTTCCCCGTTCCCGGCCAATGGGAGCTGCGGGGGGACAGTGCCTGGAAATCAGGGCAACACAGGGAGCCTTCTGCTCCTCTCCCCCACCCCCAGCCGCAGGGACGTGATGCCAGCTGCTTCAGGGAGCGGCGTGGGGCTCGAGGGGGGCAATCCCGCGGGTGTAGTTTGCCCACCCCTGGCCTGAAGGTAGGCCGGGGGGGTGTGCGGGCCGCAGGAAATAGCCCCGTGAGCCGTGAGTTTGAGACCTCTGCCGTAGAACATGGTCACTATTAACCTTGAATTACATGTTTTCACTCCCTGTATGTTAATCTAGTGTACAGTTTAAGTGGAGTCCAACATCAAATCAGATAAAGTTGCTTTCTGTAGCATTTTTAGCAGCTCCTTTTAAAGAAACTATTTTATATGTTAGAATAATGTTTTCTCCTAGATAATCTTTCCGTATTCTTGCTGGGGAAGAGGCTGCAGGAAGGGCTGTGTTCTGTCACACGAGTCCTTGAGAACCCTGTGATGGGGAAGGCTGGGAGAGGGCTTTGCTTTCTGCTGTGTCCTTTTGTTATCCAATTGAGATGTGTGTCCCCCCCCCGGCAGTGTCCCTGAATCTCTCTGTCTCTCTCTGTCTCTGCAGCTCTCACCTGTGCTCAGTTCCACCCTGATGGGCTCATTTTTGGGACAGGGACTATGGACTCTCAAATCAAGATCTGGGACTTGAAGGTAGGGCTGGCTGGCTGGGTGTGCCTGACGGCTGCAGAGCCTGGTACTGGAGGATGTTGGCATGTTGGCAGCTCCAGCCTCATGGCTAGGAGCGTGCTCAGACCGAGGCCTGGTCCCTATATACTTTCTAGAGCATGGGGCTGTCAGGCCAGCTAGGGCCTCCTCCCTGGCACACTAGGATCTCTGCTTTCATTAAAAGAAAGTTGCCTCTAGCTCTTACCTTGTTGTTACAACCATTTCCCACGTGACTGGTGTGCGAGTGAGTTTGCAGACAGCCTGAACCAGTGGGGGCGAAGTGCTCCATTCACCTCAGTGACGTTAGCTCTGCAATGTAACGATGCTGTACATTAGCGTTGACAGTGTTCAGTGCTGATTGAAGCACACAGGAAAAGAGAGGTATGGCCTTACTATGGAGAGCAGGCCATGAGTAGGCGGAGCTTGGGTGGTGGGTGGAGCTTGGCTATCACATATGTCTTCCACTCTGGCCCCTGTTGGATAGTGTGCACAGATGTCCTAGCTGGGTGCTTTCCCCAGGGAAAGAGTCGCTCTGTAGCTGGAGTCTGGTTGTGGGGGATGAGAATCTATCACAGCACAAAGGCGGGCGGAGAAGGCTCCTTTCCCCTGGATCAAGCTCTCTTCATGGGAAGGGAAGATCTAGCCTACCTGCTGCCCCCATCTTTTCCCAGCTGGCCCTGGCTCGACTCAGTGCCTGCCTTTCAGCCATGGGTAACTAACTGTCTGTCTGTCTCAGGAACGCACCAATGTGGCCAACTTCCCAGGGCACTCCGGTCCCATCACCAGCATTGCATTTTCGGAGAATGGCTACTACCTGGCCACGGCCGCTGACGACTCCTCTGTCAAACTCTGGGATCTGCGCAAGCTCAAGAACTTCAAGACGCTGCAGCTGGACAATAACTTTGAGGTGTGTGCGATCCTCCTGCTCTGTCAAGCCCTGTCCCTGCTCCCCCAACCTCTCCCCGATATGAGCCAGCTGAGGGGTGTGACCTGGCTGCTTTTCCTCCATGTCCTTGTGCATCCTAGTTTGACTGGGCTTCTCCCTGCATCAGGGAGCCAGTGCCTGGTATGGGGTGTGTGCACGTGTGTTGGGGGTTCTCCCTCTGCCCAGGGTGGGTATATGGGGAGAGGTGCCCCTCTGGGAGCCAGCTGTATGGTAGGAGTAGGTGAGTGTGTGGGGGAGTGAGTTCCTGGCAGCCTGGTACAGGAGGGAGAGCGCCCCCGGGTCTGGCTCAGAGTTGTGCCTGGAGCTCAGATCTCTCTCTCCTCTGTAGGTGAAGTCCCTCATATTTGACCAGAGCGGTACATACTTGGCCCTGGGCGGCACGGACGTCCAGATCTACATCTGCAAGCAGTGGACGGAAATCCTCCACTTCACAGGTGAGGTGCTCAGCTGGGAGAGTCATGTGCCTGTGCTGGGTTCAGCGAGTGGATGAGCGAGCTGCTCCTTTCATTGTGTCCCTGAGACCCCATTCCCATGGAGTGCGCTGCGTGAGGTGGCCCTAGGATGGAGGGGAAGGTCTAGTAGGATGAATTGCAAATTAACCATCTGGTGTCTCTCCCCTAATCATCTCTCATGTCTCCCTACAGAACACAGTGGCCTGACTACAGGTGTGGCCTTTGGCCACCATGCTAAATTCATCGCTTCCACGGGCATGGACAGGAGCCTGAAGTTCTACAGTCTGTAGCCTATTTTCTTAGGATCTGGGAGGATGGGCTGTGTCCTTCACTGTAGTGTTGGGGTTATTGTGGGGAGGTAACATGGGTGGGTGGGGTTATCATTGCTTTACTTTGAGGTATCAGGGGGAGGCCAACCTAGCGCACCCCCTTCCCTGTGCTCAAAGGCTTTGTTTTTCCAGTTTCGTGTTTCTTTCCAGTTTAGATTCTGTTCTGTGATTGTAACAAACGAAATGGAACCAAACCCATCCACTGACGGACAGCTGTGAATGAGAGGCTGGGTGGGGGAAAGAGAGGGATGGCATAGGAATGGGAGAGAAGTGGGGGATGGGGAAATGTGCATTTTTTTTTTGTAAGCAGCTATCTACTTTCAGTAAAAAAATAAAGAATGTTGAACCCTCTTGAGGTGTGGGAGTTGTGTGTACCTCCTCCCTGATGAGCTGTGGGGTAGCGCATGCAGGGGAAAGAGCCCCTAGACCTTGGGCAAGGGGATCTAAGGGTAAGAGATACTATCCACATCATCTGAATCCCTTTTAAGTGCTCCCAGTGCTATTTGAGTAGTGATGACCAGAAGAGAGGTGGAAGCCTGCATAGGGTCAGTATCCCCTGGCCCCATCTCCCTGCCGTTCTCAGCTGATGAGTAAAGTCCTGGTACCTGGATGAGTTGTGAAATTATTAACCTCCTTTGAGTTTGTGGGATAGCATTGGACTTGCTGTAGCTTCTTGTACAAACAGGCTCTTGCTATTTCTCACGTGCCCCTCAGCTAGTGATCTCCAAACCCTTTAAGAATATGAATCCTCCCCAGTCCTCTGCAAAGTAGGTACGGAACGTATCACAATCCCACGCTACAGCAAGGGCAGTGAATGTGGCAGAGGTCACGTAGCAGGGCTGGGAATACCAGGCTGCAGGCCTGAAGCCCTAGCCCTTGGTCTAACCACCAGATCAGGCCTCCCACAGAAATTCACAGAATTTAGTTTTGTTGCAGTTTGAACACTAAAGATGAAATGGGTCATTTTAGTGGGGTTTGAAAGGGATTTGTCAAAGGATGGCCCTGCTGGAGCCCAGGTCTAGTACACCTGCCTCAGTTTCCCCAGAAATAGTCCTTAAAGACTTTCCAAATGTGCATAACCCTTGCAGGGTTAATTTATTGCAAGAAACTACCACAGGAGTCCAGAATTCCCCAGCACAGTTCAAATTGTATCTGCAACACATGAAGTACAGTGCTGATCTCTCACCATGCTCAGACTCTCCAGGACAGCTCTGATGTCTCCTCACACCTCGTGCCCAGCTTTCAGCCCCACCTGGCTCTGAGAGAGCCAGCTTACCCTGTTGCTGCCTTCAGCCTTCTCTGGTGCAGGAAGGGCAGCAGGCCCAGCCCCTCCATTGGCTTCCTGACACTTCCTCCCTCTCTCCAAGGAGGGTCTGCAGTGAGCATTCCCTGGAGACCTCTTGCCCATTTCCTGATTGTCTGTCCTCAGGCCTGCCCCCATTTATATAGCCTAGGTGCCCTCTTTTAAAACTCACTTAGGAAGCAGCTCATTAGCCACAGGTGTGCTGGCTTCTCCCCTCAAAGGAGCCATTGGTACCACTTCAGCAGCTGCCTTTTCCTTAGATATTTCGCTGATCAGATCCACTCTGTGTGAAAGCCAGTGAGATCCTTGCCCCTAATGGTAGCTGCAGGCATGGTTCAAACACACATCTTGCTATCACAGCAGCTTCTCAAGCAGCTGTTAGGGCTCAACCCTGCTGTGGCAAGAATCAGTCCTACCCTCCATCTTATTCAGCATTGGTATGAAGCCAACTGGGGTGCTGGCTAGACAACCTGGGCTGAAATGCTAGCAAGATTCTAATCTTCCCAGCAGCTGTAAGCAGTACCATTTTGCAGGGCTCAGCAAACTGACACTGAAAGCCTTGGGGATGAAAAGTCCTTTGAACCAGCGGCCCTCTGACTAGACACCCCTAAGGTGATGCTCCTCTGTGAAATAGCAGCAGTAGGGACTGAGTGAGGGAACCTTTGGCTCTTAACACATGAGCATCTGCATCAGCCAGTAGAGTCATCTCTGTTAGTCATGGCTGTAGCAGGCTCCCTGTAGCCAGTTACCACTAGAGGGCCAGAGAGCTGTGCTGAGTGGGAATAAGTTACATACACAAGGTGTTGGACTTTCCAGGTCCTTTAGATCCCCCCACCTCCCATTTATGATTGGCCAGAAGACATGTACCCCACCCTCACAGCTCCAGCCTCAGTGATTCATGCATCTGTGACCTTCATGTTCAGTCACTGCAGTTCATAGTTAGCAGTGACCTGTAAGTGCCTGAGAGAGCTTGAACTGATGCAGAACTCATCTGCACCTTGCTGTGTACACATCACACACATACCATTCTCTGCACATGACTTCCCACTGAATACTGAGCCCCAGTCAAGGGCTCTCAATTTCCAAAACCCTGCAGGGGAAGTGGGCCTCAGCCACCTGCAATTACTTTTCCTGCTGTGAGCTCTTGTGCTCCATCAGAAAATGTGGATTGATGATAAATTGTATGATCAACTGCTAGACCACACCTTGGTTTTGTATGAAATGTGTTCAAGAGACCAAATAACCAAGGTCACTCGTGTTTATTGCTAAAAGTCTATAACAGTACAGTACAGGGAAAGGGTTCAATGGGCTACCAGTTTCTGGGAAGCCATCTCATGCAGCATTGTTGAATTCATCTCACACATTTCAGCTAAGAGTATTTTCCAAGTTACAAAACTCTTTACACATCACTGAAAAACAGTTTCCTAACTTGTTCCTTTTCTTCCTCATCTTTGTTTTAGATACTAGTATTCCAGCTATTGGTCTGGGACGGTATCACCCCAGCTCGTACTGGGGCAGAACATTAATGCATTTTGTCTTTGACACTTACTTTGGCGTGCCAAAGCTGACTTCAGCTTTACAGTTTTACGGGATTGACAAGGGTGAACAGAATTGACATGGAAAGAGCATAATACATTTGGTTAACTGCCCAACACCCCCTATATTTATTAATACCATGTACATAATACTTATCAACACTCCATTGGGGAGGCTTACAGGAGACAGAACCTTCCCTGCAGCCAGCTTGAGAATATGGAACTTGCTGGGACCTGAAATAATTTGTACTTGCATTACAGTAGCACATAGAGGCTTCCACTGATCAGGGCCACATTGTGTGAGTCTCTGCAGTGCTCAGCAAGAGACCCTCCAACTGAAGCCTGGAATTCCCAGAAGGGCATGAGAGGTTGGGTGCCCAAGGCCGAGTGAGAGTCAATGCCTAACTCTCTTAGGTGCCCTGGAAAAACCCAGCCTAATTCAACAAGCCAGGTAGTGCAAGAATTGGTAAAATGAGGATCAGAGGAACAGACACCTGCCCAAGCTCACATGGTGGTAAAGGTGGGCAATTGATCCCATTTCTCCTGCCTTCTACACCTGAGGGTATGTCTACACTACGAAATTAGGTCGAATTTATAGAAGCTGGTTTTATAGAAATCGTTTTTATACAGTCGATTGTGTGTGTCCCCACATAAAATGCTCTAAGTGCATTAAGTCGGCGGACCGCGTCCACAATACCGAGGCTAGCGTCGACTTCCGGAACGTTGCACTGTGGGTAGCTATCCCACAGTTCCCGCAGTCTCCGCCGCCCATTGGAATTCTGGGTTGAGATCCCAATGCCTGATGAGGCAAAAACAGTGTCGCGGGGGATTCTGGGTACATGTTGTCAGACCCCCCCCCCACCGTGAGAGCAATGGCAGACAATCGTTTTGCGCCTTTTTTCCTGGGTTATCTGTGCAGACGACATACCACGGCAAGCATAGAGCCCGCTCAGCTCAGCTCAGCTCACCGTCACCATATGTCATCTGGGTGCCGGCAGACGTGATATTGCATTGCTATACAGCAGCAGCTCCTTGCCTTTTGGCAGCAGATGCTGTATTACGACTGGTATCCATCGTCGTCGTACTCCTCAGTGAGTTCGGTCAGAGGCGCCTGGGCAGACATGTTTTGTCTCCTGGAGACTCAGTCCTGCCGGCAGTTCTATTGCACCGTCTTGACGATGATGGCTAGCAATCGTAATGCAGCATCTTCTGCCAAGCACCCAGAAGATGCTGATGGCTATCAGTCATGCTGCACCGTCTGCTGTCAGCCTAAGATGTAAAAGATAGATGTTCTGTATTCATTTGCTTCCCCCTCCCTCCATGAAATCAACGGCCTGCTAAACCCAGGGTTTTGAGTTCAATCTTGGGGGGGGGGCCATTCTGTGTGACAGTTGTTTGTGTTTCTCCCTGATGCACAGCCACCTTTGTTGATTTTAATTCCCTGTAAGCCATGTCATCACTCGCCCCTCCCTCCCTCCGTCAGACAATAGTTTCGCGCCTTTTTTCAGCCCAGACGCCATGGCACTGGGATCATGGAGCCCGCTCAGATCAGCGCAGCAATTATGAGCACTATGAACACCACGCGCATTGTCCTGGAGTATATGCAGAGCCAGAACATGCCAAAGCAAAAACAGGTGAGGAGGCGATTGCAGCGCGGCGACAAGAGTGATGAAGAAATTGACATGGACATAGACCTCTCCCAAAGTACGGGCCCCAGCAATGTGCCAAGCCTGGTGTTACTGGGGCAGGTTCATGCCATGGAACACCGATTCTGGGCCCGGGAAACAAGCACAGACTGGTGGGACCGCATCGTGTTGTAGGTGTGGGACGATTCCCAGTGGCTGCGAAACTTTCGCATGCGTAAGGGCACTTTCATGGAACTTTGTGACTTGCTTTCCCCTGCCCTGAAGCGCCAGAATACCAGGATGAGAGCAGCCCTCACAGTTGAGAAGCGAGTAGCGATAGCCCTGTGGAAGCTTGCAACGCCAGACAGCTACCGGTCAGTCGGGAATCAATTTGGAGTGGGCAAATCTACTGTGGGGGCTGCTGTGATCCAAGTAGCCAACGCAATCAAAGACCTGCTGATATCAAGGGTAGTGACTCTGGGAAACGTGCAGGTCATAGTGGATGGCTTTGCTGCAATGGGATTCCCTAACTGTGGTGGGGCGATAGACGGAACCCATATCCCTATCTTGTCACCGGAGCACCAAGCCACCGGTACATAAACCGAAAAGGGTACTTTTCAATGCGCTGCAAGCCCTGGTGGATCACAAGGGACGTTTCACTAACATCAACGTGGGATGGCTGGGAAAGGTACATGATGCTCGCGTCTTCAGGAACTCTGGTCTGTTTCAAAAGCTGGAGGAAGGGACTTTCTTCCCGGATCAGAAAATAACCGTTGGGGATGTTGAAATGCCTATAGTTATCCTTGGGGACCCAGCCTACCCCTTAATGCCATGGCTCATGAAGCCATACACAGGCAGCCTGGACAGTAGTCAGGACC